CCCGAGAAGAGCCGCATCTTCTACCTGAGCCAGCGGCCCTACCTGGTCGCGGGCACGCTGCGCGACCAGCTGCTCTACCCCTTCCCGCCAGCGGCGGTGTGGGACGCTACCTCGCCAGCGGCACAGGTTTGGGGGCGTGGCGGGAAGGCCGCTCCATGCGTGGCGCCTTTGAAATGGCCCTTCAACAATGGCTCAGCCACTCAGCTGACAATTGCTTGCGTGCAAACGCCCACCATCATTGAAGGGGCCCTGCGGACGCCAACCTTCGGCCCGGGCGCCTCTCCCTTTGAGAGCCTCCGCACGACTCATAATGAGGCACACAGAAACAGCATGGCTCTTGCCGCAACAGCAACCCACCGCAACCCAACCCTCATTTTGACCACAGGTGCAGTACATTGCCACAACAGGCTCGACCCCGCCCCGCATCACGCCTGAGCTTGATGCCGGTGAGGGTGACTCGCAGCCCGGGGGGGGGGGGTCTGTGCGCCTCACATCAGATTGACAGGGCGGCAGCTCTTATTGCAGGGATGCAGGCTGCGCACGCTGTACAGTCACCCCAGAGGCGAGGCAACTCTTGTGCGGCTCATGTTGATTGCAGCGCAAGATCGAGCTGGTTTGTACTAGTGCCTTCACATGCCCGCCCCGGTCACCCTCCTCTCCCGCTTCCCCTGTCCGCGGCGCCCCCCGCCCCAACCCTCAGAGCTGGAGGCGTGCCTGGACGAGGTGGACCTTGCCTACCTGCTGCAGCGCGGCCGCGGCTGGGACACGGTGCAGCCCTGGGTGGACACGCTCTCCGGCGGCGAGAAGCAGCGGCTGGCCATGGCGCGGCTGCTGTTCCACAGGCCCCTGTATGCAGTGCTGGATGAGTGCACTAGCGCGGTGAGCGCGTGGCCTGGCCCTGTGGGAGCGGTTGTTTGCAATCGCCCTCCACCATCTCCGGGAGCCATGCACCTCTCGACAAGACACCTGGCTCTTTGCAGGCAACTGCAGGCCCTCGGCATGTGTGCGAATCTCGCAGGCAGGCAGTTGCGTGCGCCTCTCCACTCTTGCCCGCACCCCCGTGCAACCCCCTTCTCACCCCGGCTCGCAGGTGTCTGCCGACGGGGAGGTTCGGCTGTACGAGGCCTGTGCGCGTGCAGGCATCACTCTGCTGTCCATTGCGCACAGGCCCGCCCTCAAGCGCTTCCACAGCCTGGTGCGCCCCATGGAGGTGTTGGCGCAAGGGCGCCAGGACCCATGCGCAGGCCGGCCTGGCAGTGGGCAGGGGGTGACAGGGAACAACGCGCGCGCAACGCCCTCGGCATGCATCAGCTGTATGGGTTGATTTTTGCTTTCTGTGTTCTCACCATGTTCCTGTTGTCGTGCCCATGCGAAACCTCCGAAATAGGTCGTCCACTTCGATGGCAACGTCAGCGGCAACAGCAAGGGCTGGACGATTGAGACAGTGGACCCCAAGCAGCAGCAGCAGCAGCAGCAGGCCGTCGCCAAGCCTGCCCTGCAGCTCATCGACGACCAATAGTGGCAGCCATCGGCATGGCTGCTGGTTGCAGAGGTTGCCGCTTTTTGCGCTGCCCTTCATCAGCTTCCAAAAGGACCGGGATGGGCTCACGCTTTCTGCATGGTTGACCGCCCTGGGCGGCACCTTGTCGCCCCGCCTGTCACCTGCTTGCATGAACATGGCCCGCCCCATTGGTCGTCCCAACTTTTGACGCCTGCCCCCCACCTCGTGTGTGTACATTATGCGTGTGTTGCTTGCTCTGGTAGGAGATGAGTGGTGCCAGCTGCAGCAGCTTTATCCTGGCCTTGGCAGCACCCTCCTGTGTTTTGGTCCACGCCACCGTTGACCAATGAATGCTAGGCATGTGGCTTTGAAGCCTTGTAATGAGCAGTCAAATGTCAACGTTTGAATTTTTCCACAGCATTGTAAGTGGCCGACCCCGCTCATGTAGATGGCCACCAGCCAACCCTGGCGTGTCCATAGATCGCAGTCCTCATTAAGGTTGCTGTGCCCTCCACATGCGGATGCTTAATATAGGTACCTTGCAAGTTGGCCGGCTGATCATCAAAACATTCATACATCTTGGCAGCATGCGACTCCCTTGGGACATGTTGGCTTCTGGAGCTGCAAAGGTGTCCCGTAGCAAGCATGCTGCAACTGCCTGATGGTCAACGGCGGCTGCGGGCTCGTTGGAGCGCTGATCGGGCTGACACTGCCCTAATACGCGTGTGGTTTCTGCTGAATGGCAAAAGCAGTGCTGTAAGGGGGAAACCCGGCCCACTTTGCAGGTTTTGGGGTGCCCTGGGGACACAGCGCAGCGCGACGCGAGCGGTGTTGCGAGTGCACCGCGGGCCTGCGGCCATGGTGGTGCGTCATGGCAAGCAGCCTGCCCGCGCTCCAGGGGACGCATATATATTCCATGTCGTCTCGATGCATGAGATGGAGCGATCGATGCTGGCCGCGGTATGAACATGCATTTCACACTCCAGCGAATGCAGTGGGGCGCGCTGGGTCCCTTTTTGAATTTTGGATCCATCCGATCGTCACACCCGTTCACCTAGAGATTTGTGTTTTCAAGCCAGAGCCACATCCCTTGCTTTTGAGGAGGCAACCGACTTGTTGACCCGCCACGCCAAGACTGCCCCTTTACACGGCGCTGGGGGGCTGTCCGCGTTGCTCTTGCAGTCTTCAAGGAACAAACATATCTATCAGCTGCAGAGAGCGCCCAGGGAGGCCCCTGCGGCTGACCGCCATGGCGAAGCAGGGGCTCGCTGCCCTGCTCGCTCTGGTCGGCGTGTTAGGTGCGCATGGGACTTGCTGCGATGAGAGATGCTGAACATACGCATGTGGCCGACCAGCAGGCGGCAGCGCAGTGTGTCGCTGGTGTCCGCGCACTGTCGACTCGTCGCCCATTGACTGTGGCGCGCTCCTCGCCTGTCGCAGGCTGCCTAAGCGCTGCTGATGCGCAGCAGTGCTACGGATATGGTGCTGGAGGCTACGGCTACGGCAGGTATGGCTACGGCTATGGCGGCTATCATGGCGGCGCATACGGTGCTGAGGTCGGATACGGGGTGAGCTTGCCAGCAGCTGCGCGATGCAGCTCGCGCCTGTGCGCGCCATGCATGAGCGGCAGGGCTCGCATGGTGCAACATCAGCAACATGAGACGGCAAGCTGGGGTTTGCATCCCATGCATGGACCCATGCATGGTGCTGTGCATGAGGAGCACGTCTTCACAGACGCTGTTCTAACTTCCAGCGTGCACGCTGTGCCACAACACGCCCGCGGCGCAGCCCGTTTCACACGCATCAGGTGACCTTGTTGCACACACTCCTCAACTTTCTGCTTGACCACTAATGCAAACTCCACCATCAAACCGGCACGCCGAGCACAGTACAGCTGTGTCTTTCAGCCAGCCGCCCCAGCCGTCTCGAGTTCAGTCGTCGTGGCTGGCGGCGTCGCCCAGCTTGAGGTGTGCGGCAACCACATGGCTGCCATGCTGAGGCTTTTGGATGTGCCTGGTGGTGTGAGAACGCCTCGAACCTGCGAGTCGCCTGCAGCAGCCCCCGACCCGAAACCGCACAAGCCACTTCAACAGCTCTATAACACCCGCTGCACATGTGCATCAAACCGCAGGGCACAATGACGCCCTTCAGCTCTGACCTCCAGCTGCGGACACCCCTCTTTACCGACAACAACGGCGTGTTCAGCCTCGACGCCTCGACGCCCACGCTGCTTGCGTTCCCGCCAGGCTCGGTGGACAAACTGAACGCTGCGAGCATCAAGTTTTGGCTGACGGCGCCCACCACGCCCGACTCCAACGTAACTGTCTCGCCTGTTTCCAGCCTGGTGGAGGCCTACCGCCGCTACAAGTGCAGCAGCGGCGGTCTCTGCAAGGACTTTGGCGACGCCACGCTGTACAGCAACGTTTATAGCCTCTTTGGCTTTGACCCTCAGGACAGCGTCAACTTTGTCAATTGGAAGGGCATTGTCATGGGCACCAAGTATGGTGTGTCAGTCTACGTGCTCAACCAGCGCATCGCCGCTGTGCTCACCGCCGCCTCTGAGGTGGCCAACACGCTGTGCGGCCCCGATTTTTCTACCTCTGACAACCCACACGTGCAGCTGGCGGTGTCTTACGCCCTGGTCGAGGTCCTGCTGGCCAAGAGCAGCCCTGCCGACCGCCTGGCTGCGCTCTCCAGCCCAGAGGATATCGCCAACGTCATGGACCTGGCGCTGGAGAACCTCAAGACCCCTGAGGCTGACCTGCGCACCTGCATCAGCATCCCTGCAACCGACAAGGCTGTGCTTTTCCCCGTGCTTGCCAAGGTGTGTGCGCCAGACATGTGGGCAGAATGCAGCAGGCCGGACCTCTTTGCCCTGGATGGCAGCATTGTGTTGCAGAGCACTAGTTATTTTTCTTTATCAGCAGGTTCTGTTTCAAAGGACCCAGAATGTTGGCTAGCATTGCTGTATTGGCATGGCAGCGGGCTCTTTTGCCGCCGTGCAGCACGCACACATTTGTTGCAACCTCCCTTGCATATATACCACCACTCCAAGCACCAGCTTATTGCAACCCTCCCTGACAATGAACTTGCAGGGGGCTGCGTACGTCAACTCGGCGCTCAGCTTGCTGCCCAGCAACGTCACCACCGTCGACCAGGTCGTGCTCACCGCCAAGGGCAAGCCCTCCAGCGCTACCTGCGCCTTCAAGGGCCTTGATAGAACTGCGGCTGCCGCGGCGCTGAGTCGTGTGGCGTCCAGTGAGATGGCAGACTCGCTCTCTGGGAATCTGAGGGCCTACCTGAACTCGAACACCCAGGCTGAGAGGGACACTGTTACTGTGGCCGCGTCCGCTGAGATGGATGCCCAGTATGGCACTGCCAAGCAGCTGGACAAGACCACCACCAAGTCCAAAATCACTGCCAAGCACGCAGTTACCGACCTGACTGGCGCCAACCTTGACGTCGTCGCCTGCACTGTTGGCGCCACCGGCGCCCTGGGCCTGCTCGGCCTCCTCGGCCTGCTTGGTCTCATCGGCATCGTGCCCGCCGGTGTTGTCGCGGCTGGCATCCTGGCTGCGCTGCCCCCTGGCATCGTGTTCATCGTGCCAGGCCTCGCGCTCATCCCCTTCGGCACTGTGCTGTCCGACGATTTGATCACCCTGATCTTCCCGAACGGCGGCACCAAATACAACTTCCCCGGCTCCTGCAGCCTCGGCATCCCGCCGCCCCCCAAGAACCTGACAGGCGTCCTGCCCGACTACATTGTCGAGATGCTGCCCCCCAAGATCTGTCTGCCGCCTGGCGCTCTGTGGTACGTCGGCGAGCTGCCCTACATCATCAACGTGCCCGAGTACAACTGGCCAAACAAGACCGTCATCATCCCGCCCAGCACCATCATCCTGCCCCCCGGCGTGTCGGGCGACCCCGGGGTCATTGGCACCAACGACACAACGTGGTACCCCACCAACGACACCGTGACCCCTCCCGGCCCCGTTGACGTGGTGCCCGACGACGGCAACGACGGCGGGACCACCATTGTCACGCCCATTGAGGGCGGCGGCGAGGAGACCAATAACACCGGTGGCGGCGGCGGCGGCGGCGGCAGCTCAGGCAACGGCGGCCACGGCGGTGGCTCCTACCTGCTGGACGGTCCTCCTCCTGGTGAGCTTGCTTCTCAAGGGCTGCAAGTGCACGTGATTGTGTCTTCTGCTGTGTTTTCCCAGAGTGTGAATGGCCCGCCGCAGTGTGCAACCTGTTGGTGCTGCAACTCTTCATGTGTCAACTCTGCCTTGCTTGGTTGGTGTAACCCTGACATGCCTCCCGCTTTGAACAGGATCCTGCCCTGGCACCACCCTGGGCCCCATTCCGCCCCTGGGAACCGCCCCGGGCGATGCCCTGCCCACCGTCCGCCAGCTGTTTGGCTCCATCCACGGCATTGGCTACCTTGGCTTCTGCGCGGTGCGTTTATGTGCCTGGCCAGGGATTGTGCTGCATGTGGCAATTGTTCAGTGTTGTTGCTTCGGTTTTGGCACCCATGCAGCAAGATTTCCAAGCTACTGTGTACGTTACTGTTGCCACGTCTGTCCCTTGTGCACAGCCCCAGACCATCATGCCATTTGCTTCAGCATCCACCATTTCCGCTGTCAATCCTGTAGGGTGACTTCTACTACCAGCGCCGCATGGACCCCACTGATAAAGACGTGGCTGGCGACCTACTCAACAAAGATCGCACTTTTGGCCAGGTGTACAAGGTGAGAAGGGAGCTCCTGGGCCATGGCGTCGCCACTTGCCCCTTGGGCGCGTAGGAGCATGACTCAACCAAGCTGCTGAGCAGCAGCCACACCAGCAGTGGACCAAGCCGCTGGTCCAAGAAAGCAGAGCCATGCCCGCCGTACTGATGATCCCACCCCCTATCCGTGCGCGCACCCCGTTGCCTGCTGCAGGACTTCATCACCGGCCCCGCCAACGCCGCGACCTATGGCTACTTCGGCATCGACAAGATCACCGGGGACGGCCTTGCGCTCGCCACCGACGCCTGGGCTGACTCGCCCGAGGAGCCGGTTGAGAACCACTGTGTGGACACCTGGACCACCATTCCGGTCGGGGTCCCGATATCCGGCCTCACCCCCTACCCTCGCGACGTGACCGGCCAGCCCGACTGGGCCGCGCAGGTGGTGGTCACCCCTGTGGCGCTGCTCACTGTCGGCGACACTGGTTCAGGCACTGTGGCCCAGAAGTACGATGCCGCCCACGCCCAGCTCAACGTCAAGGCCCAGGGCGGCCTCTACGGCTCAGGCATGGTCAACTCCGACCCCATACTGATGTTGTCGAGCGGCAACACCGTGAAAATTGGCGTCGCAGTGAGCTCGCTCGTGGCCAGTGCCAAGGTGCTCAACGTCCTGTCCCTGGCGCGCGCCCTGTACGAGTGCCGCAACGGCAACGCAGCCCGGCTCAGCAACGAGCTCTTCCACCAGGTGAGAACCGTGCAGGCGCCTGAGAACCCTCGACTTTGCAGTGGATTGTGACATGCTAAGCCTGCTTATTTTGAGGTTTGCCTGGCCTGGCATGCTGTGCTTAGTCTATGTCCACCTTCAACAACACGTTTGTGAAATCACCCTTCCTCCACCTGGACAATTTCGCTTCGCCCCGCAGTGGACTGAGGCTTTGATTAAGACCGACCTGCTTCACTCGCCTTCCAAGCTGACTGCCGCCCTCAAGGACCTGTGCCTGGTGACATGCGCCAGCGACGCGGTGCCCGCCGTTGTCGCCATCCACAAGCAGCTGGGCGACCTCGCGGTGAGCGACTGACCATCTATCTTGATACATCCAATGGACGGGCACCAGTGCTGAGGCTGGATTGATGGAAGGGGCTGGCCGGGGTGCCTTGTGATGCAGCGTTGCTCACGCATAGAGGGGATACGCATCGAGGCAGCCGCACCTATCAACCCATGACCACCTCCGGCCGTTCCTGCAAACTCCACGCTCGGTCCCTACAGAACAAGTACAACGTCCTGACAGCCAGCTCAGACGTCCCCATCACCCTGCACTCTGACCTGGTGCGCATCGCCAAGCTGGCACGCCTCGGCCAGGAGGGCATCCGTGCCAGCGTCAAGCAGTGCTGCACCGGCGCATCTGCCAGCCCCTTTGCTGTCTACACCACCTCCCTGGAGGACCTCATCACCAAGGCCAGCGTCAACGTCTCCGCCATCGCCTCAGCTGTGGCCGGCAGCGGGGCCAGCTCCGGCCCCACCAAGCCCTCCACCAAGCTCTCTGGCAGGCTGCTCAACAACGGTGGCATCAAGGACTGCAAGGTGGGTCAAATCAAACTGTGTGTCGTGGGAAGCGCCCCGCTTAGGGCTTGCTTGTGCCAATTCCTGGCAGCAAACTGTGCATGCATCACCTCCAAGACAGTTTACAACCCCAGTAAAACTCCCCCTTGACCCATTGCACATCATTTTTGTCACCCACAATCAGGGCACCTACGAGGCAGTGCTGACTGGTGACAAGCTGGACCTCACCACCGACAACATGGGCGCCTTTGAGGTCGCCAACCCCCAGCTGGGCCTCTATCGATTCAGCAGCGCTCTGGAGGGCAGCCAGTGCACCGACGCCATCACTGGCGTCACCGTGCGCTTCCCGTTCTCCCTCTACGTCCCGCCAGTCATCGCCACCGCCATCAACGCGATCTCGCTGCTGACCGTCCCGGTCGCCGACGACGCCACCGTGACGGCGCTCTACAAGGGCAAGGTCACCGATGGCCGCGCGCCCCAGTACCTGTGGACCCATGCCTACAAGCTCTTTGGCTACGACGCCACCAAGCTTGCGGTGAGTCTGACCTCTGCATTGTGGGTGTCCGTTTGGGATTGTGACGCTGATGCCCAGCTTGTGGTCCTTTCAAAGTGCGCCAGCTAGAGATTGGCCCTATAATGACTTTTGCCACCTCATTGCAGCCATACTCACTCCTCCGTTTCCCCCTTTTCAACCCGTCAACTCAACAAGGTGGACTTCCTCACCTACATCGGCGACGCCCTCACCCTGGGCCAGCCCACTGCCGCCGCGCTCATGGGCACCAACGCCCAGGTCATGGCAACCTACGCCACCGCCCTGGAGCTGTTTGAGCCGCTGCTGGGCAGCCAGGCGTCCGTTGACGACATCGCGTCATCGGTGGTCAAGGCCACCTACTCCAAGGTCAACGAGACCTGGGCCGCCTCGGGGGACGGCAGCGCGTCGCTCAGCAACGCGCTGACCCTGTCCGACCTGTACGCACAGGGCTACACTGCCGCCCTGCCTGCCGCGCGCCGCCGCATGATGCGCCGCCTGCACAACAGCGCCGGGCAGCGCACTGCAGAGGAGCTCAAGCCGCTCTTTGATTCCGTTGCAAAGGTACGTGGCGCTGGTAGTCGGGCGCTTGTTGTGTGGCAGGGTGGGGCAACTTGTGCAAACCAGGCCACCCTGGCAGAAACCCAACTGCATGGGCTCTAGACAGGATTGCTGCTGATGCTTATGCCAAGCCCTGATGAAAACCTCAACCGCAAATGCTCATCTTTCCTAGATTGTGGCGAGCACCAATGCCCAGATCGAGGCCATCGTGCAGGCGGCCAAGGCCGCTGCTGCCGAGGGCCGCTCCTACGACGCAGTCGCCGCACTGGTGCAGATCACCGCCATCTCTGCTGTGCAGCAGCAGGACTTGGCCTCAGCCGTCAGCCAGCTTGCCGCCAAGGTGGCCAATGACCCCACCCTTGACATAGCCGCCGAGGCCGCCACGCTCGAGAAGGTGTGTTGAGTGGCTATGTGGGTGGCTGGTCGAAGCCCTGTGTTGTACCCGCTGAACAGGCATGTACGCTGCCTGCGCCTGAGGCTCTAGCGATGTGGCACCCTTAGCTGGTCCCGCCAATACTCTCCGGGATTCTGCGCCCTACACTCACGCCGCTCTCCATGCATGCCCTAAAACCCCAACCCACTTTCCTTGCAAATCCACCCATTCCCAGGAGTTCTCTGGCGCAGCTCTGTCCAACAAGATCGAGTCCAAGATCACCACCATCCCCGATGTCGTTCAGCAGATCACCCAGCAGCAGGGCAACCTGGGCAAGGCGCCTGTGGAGGCGGCCAGCCCGACGGCTGGTGGCGCGAACACCGCCGGCATCATTGCAGGCACTGTGGTCGGCTTTGGCGTCGCGTTCGGTCTGGTGGTGCTGGGGGTGGTCCTGCTGCACAAAAAGCGCAGGGCCGCCGCCGAGGCCGCCGCCGGCAAGGCGGCCGGCGACCGTTATGCGGTCAATGATGCGGGTGAGACGCAAGCAGATGGCGCCACGAACGGCGCAGGCCCCGTGGCCGAGGGATCTGAGTCGTCGCAGGCTCAGTCATTCTATCAGCGGCGTACGCTCAGGGCGCAGGCCGCCCTGCAGCAGCATGCGTCCCCTGACGGTACTGCAAAGTCCAAGTGACCGTGTGTTTGAATTTGCAAAGGTGGAAGTGACGCGGGCCCCTCCCTCATGCACTGCACTGTTCTTCACAAACCCCTGGGTAGAGCGCCTTGTCAACTGAACGCAGACATGCTTTCTTGGCGCCCACCAGCCAAGCAACCCCATGATATTGGCAGCAGCGTTACTTTCATCTTTTGGACTCGAATAGCCCCTGAGCGACCTCTGTTTGTTACTACCACCTGTTTGTCTTTGGCGGGCAGCAGTATCGCCTGCCACAGCAATTGCCAAACACCAGCACGCACACTCCAGGGCAATTACTGAACAATCATGTGTGCTCTGAAGCATGCGTAGGGTGCGCGTGCACCATCCTTTTGAATCACAACCACGGCTGGCAGAGGGGTTGCATCCAGCCAGCCAAAGGCAACTAAGCAGGACAGCCAAAAGCAGTGGGCTTCTTGGGCCAACAGGCTAGAGTGCGTTACGAGTGGTCTCACAGTGATGTTACTTCATGTAATGGCTGAAATACTTCGCCGTCTTGATGCCAGGGCCGCTCGCGCTGGGACAGGCGTCCATCAAAGCCCTGCCGTCGTGTAGCTTACACAACGTTGGCCTGATCAGCTCAACTGCCCAGAGGCGGGACCAAGATGGGCTGGCCATAGTTTCTCAGTGACGTTGGCAGCTTATGCCAGGTGATATCAGCGTACTCAGACCACGTAAGAGCTTGGCTGCCCGTCTACGCTGCACCATACAGCAGTGAGACGTACCCAGCACACACTGGCCGGTCGGAATCCTGGTCATCCCAGCAGTGTCGAATGCGCATTTGCGTTGCCAGGAAATTCAATTATCATTGTGCGCATGTCATCCGCGAACATATAGCCCCGCTCAAACGGCATTGAACTTCGCGCCCAGATCACATTTGAGTCCGCAGCCATGGTGAGGCGCAAGAAGACGTCCAAGGTGACTCCTGGCATCGTAGCGCCCACGCCTATGACAGCCGATGGGGCTTATCAAGCCGGCCCGCGCGGCTACCAGAGCTTTGCTCAGCCCAGTGACCAGGACAAGGCCAGGCGGCTGAAGCCAACGGGGTTTTTTGGATCTGAAATGCCACGGACGGCGATCCTGGCCAAGGCGCCACCAGCGCACGGCGGAGGGCGCCATGGAGGCGCGGACGACGTGCCAGCGGTGGAGGCACCCGCCGACCCGAGCCTTGCACCAGTCACAATCGCAGACATCAATGAGGGTGCGGTAGTGCCACATTGTTGCGCAATACAAACGATGCTTGGGTCGGTTGCACACCCAGCGACGGACGCCATTTGCGCCAAACTTGTGTGAACCGGTCGCCTGCTGTCCGTACCGGGTGCAGCAGCCTAGGGGCGCGCCTGCACGGCCTGGATCGCGCTTGTACCTGCTGCATCTGCCGCCCGCTCCTCACCCCCACTCGTTTTGATCCATCCCGTTCCCCTTCACACGGCCAACCGCAGCCCACTACGCCGACATGCCCCTGTCCAAGGGCGGCGCCAAGCTCAGCTCCCAGCAGCGCGGCGCGCTGGGGGAGGTGGCGGGCGCGCTGCTTGATGACGAGGCAGACCCCGTGGCCAGCAGGGCCGCCTTTCTTCTGTTCGCAGAGGACATCCTGCCGGTGGGCGGGGGATGTGGGTGTGCTGCGGTCGATGCTCCAATCGGGCGGTCTGTCTGGCTCGCGCTGGGGCGGGCTCTGGGACGGGCGCTGTGTCGCCCGCGGTTGGGGTGGGAGGGGGGGGCGGTTCAACAGGGGAGAGAGGAGGCCGAGGCCCGCCGCCCCCTTCCTGCTGCAGCCTGCCAGGCTGGCGGGTAAACCGCAGCCCATGGGTGGGTGCAGCGTGAGGGCCCAGCCCGGCCCATCCGGCGCGGCACCGCCTGCAACCGGCGCGCCGCCCGATCGGCCTAGCGCCGCGCCGACCCCGATCCTCACCCACCCGCTGCAGGGCCTGCGCGGCAAGGGGGAGGCGGATGACGCGCCCTATGACCCCGAGGATGCCGGCCAGCGTGCTGCACGCCTCAAGGTGGGCAACACCCTCCACCCGCCATGTGGCTGACCACCCGGCATCAACTGCCGCGTGCCCACCAGGGCGCATTCCCGTGCCCGCAGCCGCCCCACCTGCGCCGGCCGTTGGGAGGTCCAGGCGCGCTCCTGCCCTGCGACCGTTGGCCACCGGGCTCAAGCACGCGGCACGACCGCCTCATGCACCCCTGTCACACCAGCTGCGCGGCCGCGCCTCCGCCTTTCTCAGGTGGCGGAGGCGGAGTGGAAGGGGCTGCCACCGACTGAGCGCCGCGAGTTCCTGGTTCAGGCAGAGCAGGGTGAGGCGACCCAGGCGGAAACGGGATGGGCCACGGGGCTCCTGTAAGGGGGGTGGCGGTGTCTTGGCGCTCCTTGCGGGCTGAGATGTTGGGCCCCCTGGGGCCTGTTGCTCCCTGCCCTGGCCAACCTGCCAACCTGGCTGCCTGGGGCGCGCGGCGCTCCTGCCGCGTCCCGACACGCACCACCCACCCAGCCACCCGCCGCCCCTAACGTGCCACCCCCCCTCCCCGGTCCCAGAGCGCGCACGCGGCGCGCTGCTGAAGATTGCAATGGGCGGCGGACGCCGCGCCGGCGGCGCCACCAAGGCTCGCGACCCGCAGCGCCGCAAGCCCGACGGCTGGCACTACGCGCCAGCCCCGCGACGGTCTGCCCGCGGCGGCGGCGGCGGCGGCGGCAAGGGCGGCAGCCTGGTGGACCGCCTCAAGGAGTGGTCCAGCGACGACGAGTCGGACGCCGGGGCGGACGAGGAGGGGGAGGGGGAGGGGCAGCAGGAGGAGGAGGGTGGGCAGCAGGCAGCAGCGCCGCGGCGCGGCGCAAAGCCGGCGGCCAAGAAGGCTCCGGCCAAGAAAGGGCGCACCGCGGCGGGGGGCAAGCGGCGGCGGGGGGCGGCAGCTGCTGAGGAGGCGGATGGCTGGGCGTCTGACGGCGAGGAGCAGCAGCAGGAGGAGGAGGCGCCGGCCAAGGGGCGGAAGCGCGGCGCCGCCAAGAAGGCGCCGAGCGCGGGCAAAGGCCGCAAGGCGGCCGCCGCGCGGCGGGCGGCGGGCAGCGAGTCTGAGGGCGACGGCGGTGACGCTGACGAGGACGATGACGAGGAGCGGGCGGCTGCGGCGGCGCTGCGGGCCAACGACGACGACACCGGCTCAGGTGGGTGTGGGTGCTGTGGCGGAGCGCGGCCGCCGCACAGGCGCGCGCAGGCGCGAGCGATGGGACGCCTCCTTGCACAGCTGCCCCCCTTGCAAAGGGTGGGACCCCTCCTTGCAAAGCTGCGCCTGGCGCAGGGGGGGTGGACAGTAGAGCGGCATCCCGAGCAGCACATGTCTGCTGCGTGCTTTGCCGCCGCGGCCGCTCCCCTTGACCTACCGCACTCGACCCCCTGGCATTGCAGAGGCCAGCGATGAGGAGCAGAGTGAGGGCGAAGACAGCGAGGAGGAGGAGGAGGAGGCCAGGCCCGCAAAGCTGGCCAGGAAGCAGCAGCAGACGCAGGCGCGCAAGCCTGCGGCCGCCGTCCCCAAGGCGGCCGCGAGCCCCGCTGCCAAGAAGGCCGCAGCCAAAAAGGCGGCAGCCCGGAAGGCGGCAGGCAGCTCGGGCAGTGGCCAGGTGCAGGTGAAGCACAGCGCGCGCAAGGCGGCCGGACTCGACATGGTGCGGCGGCCGCTGGCCGCCAACGACACCGCAGAGGGCGCCGAGCCCGCGGCCAGCGGCAGGGGCAAGGCCAAGGGCGGCGCGGCGGCGGCGGCGGCGGGGGCGGCAGGGGCGCCCAGTGCAACCGAGCAGGGGGTTGGCGGCCGTAAGAAGGGCGGCGGCGCGGCGGGCAAGGTGAGGACTGCTGCTGTTCGGCCGGTTGGGCGGACAAGGCACCACCAGCGCTGTGGTCGGCGCCGGCCTCCAATTTTGCAGCACGTGGTACAGCTTTCAGTCATCCCCACCCCACCATAATTGGCTGTGGACGCTGTGGCCCTCTAACCCAGCCAACCAAACCCTCGATTGCCCCACTGCGCAGCCTGCAGCCGAGCCCAAGACCAAGACCAAGCGCGGCGCAGCGGCCGCCGAGGAGGAGCCAGCAGCCAAGCGCACCCGCGGCAGCACGCGGGCGGTGGCCAAGGAAGGTGCGCTGGGGGCCGCGCCTGCTGGGCGGCGACGCGGCCAGCGCTGCCGCAGCCAACCGCCTGGATGTGCCACGCGACAAAGGGTTTGTCTTGCCAGGCGAGAGCAGACCCCGCAAGGCTGTCTGCGTCAGAGCAGCTGCCTGGCTCACATCCCTGCCCCCTCCTCGGCTGCCGCCGCGCTCTGTGTCCCGCAGCCTCCTCCCCCCCTGTGACGCGAGGGGCGCGCGACGGCAGCGCTGACAGCGGCAACACCACCCCCGGCGGCACGCGGCTGGAGAAGGACCTCTTCAGCGCCACCTGGCGGGCCCGGCGCGCCTAGAGCCGCCAGGGCGGCGTGCTGGTGTGTTGGCCAAGACACCTGCGTGGGGAGGGGGCCACGGGTGCGGCGCTGCCTGCTGTTCAAGGGGCCTGGGTCAGACGGCGCTGCAACAATGAACGGCAAGGCGAGCGGCGGTCCCTGCATCCCACGGATTGGATGAAGCCCTCATGCTGTGGGTTCCGACCGTTCCGCGCCTGGCTGTTGCTCTGCGCGGGACGCCTGCACTGGGCGCGGAACGGCCTGGCACGGCTAGGTGATGCGCTGAGCCGTGCTGCATATTGACACATCTATGAGCCTCGCGCACTTTGCGTGTGGTGGGGGCTGTAAACCAGGGGTGTTTGCAAGTTGAGCTTTGCGCTGTGCTCTGTGCCGCGGGACGCGAGCCCGCGAGGTGGGTCGGGCAATTGAGCAGTGGTGCAGGCAGCGGCCACCCTTCGGGCCCTGCACCGGCAATAGCTGCCCTGCCCCTGGCCAAGTTCACGGCGGTGCTCACAGGCTCAGCTGTGCGACACGCTCTGTCCCGTGCGCACTGCAGCACTGTTTTTGACTGCTGATGTGCTGGCTGGCCGTGTGAGTGCAGATGTGCTGGTTGCGAGTAGCTGGCGCCGTCGCAGCTGGGTTGTAGGGCTGCTCCCCACAGCTCCTTTACCCCTGGCTCAGACACAGGTGACCCAGCAACCCTGCATCGCCGTAGCCTAACAGATTGTCATTTGTGCCTCACACACCCAGGGCTGAACGACCGCAGGCCCGCACCACCCACAAACGACCCCATGCACCTGCCCCAACGCCCGCGTCCAGCCCAAGCAACCAGCCCAGTGCACTGTTATGGACGATGCGGTCACGGTTTACTGTGTAATGCTCCGCAAAGTCGAGCGTCGCACCGTCGAGCAATCGCTCCGGCGCTAGCCGGGCAGCATGCGCGCTGCAGAATTTGCGCAATTGCGCCACGCAGGCAAGGGGGACCGCAGCCCCGGGACAAAAATGCCTGGTCTACACGCAACCGCGCTCCAGACTGTGCGAAACTCAGCCAGCCCGGTAGCTGATCAACGCGCATGAAAGGTGGCCGCTGCTGGTGATCCACTGATTCCTCTCAAACAAGGCGGGACCAAGCCCGGCACCCCGCCGCGCCCACCCGCCCCCCCAAAATGCTGCTGCGACT